GGCGGGTACAGCTGAGCTGGTTCTGCCTCTAGATAGGCAGAGCCAGCTGTCACTCACGCAGCTGGGCTGATCCAGACATAATTGTCGGGATCCGTTTCAGCTGCGGCGTCTCAGTATACCGTGAGCTGTAGCTCGCGGTATACTGAGCTTAGGGTGACGGGAGGACGCTAGTTTGTGTCCTCCCGTTACCCTTAGGAGAACTATAGTTCTCCTTTAAGGAATCGTTTGAGAAATAAATTTATCTGAGTATTTTCAACTATTGTAGATAAAAAGCAAGGAATATGGATGAGGAAGAATGTTTGGGTCTGAGCAAAGCCAAGCCCAAACACAGTGTTAGGGGAAGGAACTCATGTGAAATCCTCATCTTTAAAAAATGAAACACACAGCTGCGGTATCAGATTTCATGGAAGGTGTTGTGGTATACTTTGCGAGAACTAGGTCCTGACTAAAAGAATAACCTTCAGCTGTAAGGCTGTCACCCTTCGACCAAATGCTGCTCCATATATTGTAAACAATCAAAAAGTTGTATACAATAAAGAAAAAGTACACATTTTAGAAAAAGGAAGATACCCAAAGTCCACAGAAATATTTACAGACCTGAATCAGATGTATTAATGTAAAACAAAACAGCAACAAAGCTATGACTTCATGATCACATATTAATGTAGGCGCTTTAAAATCACCAGGATCATGTAGCAAAAAAAACAAACCTCAATAAATCTACTCACTAAAGAGTAGGATAGTCTGACTACGTTACAAACTGCTAACACACACCGTGCAGCAGCCTCACCACCATGGCCATAAGAGTGACCCCTCTTGTATCAAATATGAACCAAAGAGGTCCTTGCATTGTGAAAGTGACACCCGCCTCTACTATTTCTGCAGTACTAATACATCGCTCATGGTCTTCATCTAATGTATTTTATTTTCTATGTAAAAAAAAGTCAGAACACAGGTATACTTAATGAAATCAGAAAGCCTGCATTCTCTGGCTTAATGGAAAGACTTCCAGGATTCGCAAAGCTAAAATATAGAGGACGTTATCTGAAGACAAGGAGTGGAATTTACCAAATCTGGAGCAGCTGTGCGTGGCAACCAATCAGCATCCACCTTTCATTTTCAAAGCTTAAGTGAACAGACTGAAGAGAAGCTGATTGGTTGCCATGCTCCAGATTTTGTCTGCTTCAGTTTTGATAAATTGGCCCCAAGATGTTTTACGTTTTGCTCTTTTTTTGCAGCAAAGTCTACCAAACATATTGCAGGGGTCGTAACATGACCCCCTTTTTTTTAAGGTTCATAGGTTTTGCAGAGTGTGCCAACTGCAGGACTGCTTTCAGTATGTACTCAATATTTAGAAGCCCTGAAGGAAGCATGCCAAGATGGAATTTTAGACCGACTTTTCTTTAGATTACATTTGGTGTTCCTACATTTCTATTTACTTCAGGGCCATAACGGTCTATCAGCAGTGAGGAGAGACCTACACTGAAGTCCAAAAAACCTTGCAAAAAGGATTCCACTATTATCACTAATCCCAGTTTAGTGATGTGAGGCGGTGTCGAGAGATACGGACATACTTGTGAATGTGGAGATCCCTGTGCTAATTATTTCTTGGTGCCGGTGATTTGCTTAATAGATTTTCTTTTTTGTAACCATGCCAGTCCGATTGAATGAATGGACGTATATCCTAGGAAGCGTATTATGGATTAGTCTGAGGTTAACCTTGCCTGGAATTGAACAGGGTATTACAAGCAGAGGGTTTTTGTAAGTAATCATGAGCTGGGACACCCATTATAACTTGCATTAACTTGAGTCAAATTACAAGGTTTAATTTACTTCCGTTGCTGCAAAAAAAAATCTGTAAATTGTAATCAATTACTTGTTCCCTGAAAACGGCCATTGCATTATTTTTCAGTTTTTGCTAACCGAAGACTTTTTTTATTCCCTTTTTAACTTTTTTCACTTACCTTTATATGATTTCAGTTTGCTTTAAGTCACTGGGATTTAAACTGGAGCTGCTTAAAGCTTAATAAAAACTGGGGAAATTGTGGTAAGCTCAGGGAAGCCTATCCCATCTCTACCTAAAAACTGAACCTTTACTTTCTTCATTAAAATCTAACCTGCCCTGGCCGCTTTGGTCTACAACAGCTCACTCATTTCCCTGGACATTACTTGTTCCCCTCACTACACACAGAATTATATCTTAACCACTACATACCTGACAAACAGACCCCAGAAGTCTTAAAAGCTATGGCCATGCTCTGGACAGAGTGTGGTGTAAAATGTAATCCTTTCAAGACTTTACCATGTATAAATCTGCCCTCCTAAAACAAAACTGCTCCCTCCAAGCTACCAAACACAACTATTACATCACTCCCATTAACACCCCTCTCATCCAGTCCTCGTGTACTCTTTTTCTACCTACTACAGATGAGGTTGCTTAACTTTCTTGATACTAGCCGTGAAACAATGTGAAAAGAATAGAAAAAAAAACACGTGTATAACATGCACCTCAGTGCAAATAATATGTTGCTACAAAAATGTCCATTTTATTTTATTCAGTTGTGATATGTTTAGTATGACGGTTTGACGGTTTATGTTTGAATATGTCATGGCTGCCATTTGTTTATGGTGGCTACTCTGAAAACTGGGTTCAAAATATATGCTCGGTCTAGCTCCTGTCTCCACACCGCTGATGAAGTCACGTCCCTTGAGGTAACATATATAGGGTGGAGCATAGAAGCTGAACGATCGCTCAGTGTCTGTTTACCAAGTTGTTTTATCTGACGCTTATTTTTTATCAATGGAATAGGAGTAGTGTCTTTTTTAATAAAATATATTATCCTTTTTAATTCCATCTGCACTACAAGTTTCCCCTTTTTATTTGATGCATGGTCCATTTGGACAAATTGACTGCTTTCAACGCCTGAGGCTGGCAATAGGAGCTTGTACCTAAGAGGAGGAAATCACTGGAAGGTGTTCGGCGTCAGGTGTTTCCTCTACCTGGTTTTAATCAGAATAGCGCTTACAGACCCTGGTGGGTCACTACTAAAAGGTGAGGTGCATTCCATAAAATTTCTGTTTATGGTCACAAGAGATTGAGATTACCTTTTATCCACTTCTATATCTTCTATTGTCATAATGGACTGTTGAAGATTCAGGATTATGGACATTTTTTTAGCAACATTGGGCATCTATTTGGCAAATGAGGTTTAGTGTTGCATGCGTCATACACTCTAGGGGAAGTATGTTTGGAGGAGTCAATGATGGAAAGATCTGGGTGTTCTGGTAGACCATAGACTTAATGATAGCATGCAATGTCAAGACGCAGTTCCTAAAGCAAGCAAAATACTTTCTTGTATTATACGGAGTATAGACCCCAGAGATAAGAGACATCATCCTGCCCCTGCACAAAGCATTAGTAAGACCTCATCTGGAATATGCAGTTCAGTTTTGGGCACCAGTTCACAAAAAGGATGTTGTGGAACTGGAGAAAGTGCAGCGAAGGGCAACTAAAGTCATAAGAGGCATGAAGGCGCTCAGCTATGAGGAACGATTAGCTGACCTGAATTTGTTCTCTGGAGAAGAGGCGATTAAAGGGGGACATGATCATCAAATTCTTCACTTTAAGGTCAGTGCAAAGGCCAAGGGTGCGCTCTTTGAGTCTGGAGTAAAAGAGGTTTAACCTTTGCATACGGAAAGGATTCTTCACACCAAAGGTGCCCATACACTGCACGATTCTCGTACGAGAATCGCGGGAAATCCTGCGATCGTACGAGAATCGTGCAGTGTATGAAGGCATGCGACCGTTTCTACTGTACGGTCGCACGTCTTCCATCGAACCAGCATGTTTGAAAACCCGCCGGGAATCGTACGATTCTCGGCAAGTTGGTGGCCTGCTGGTTCGACAACTGCCGAACGGGCCGGTGTCGCGCACACTTCCCGTTTGCAGTCAGCGTAAGCCCGCCCCTCATTACAGTCATCGCAAACCCTCAGGGGGCGTGGCTTGCGATGATCGAGAGTGCGATCTGCCCGTCCAAGATGGGCAGATCATACGTTTTTTTAATCCCTTTACAACCAGCGCAAGACTAAGGTCTTGCGCTGGTTGTAGTGTATGGCCACCTTTAGAGATGTGGAACAGACTCCCCCAGGAGCTAGTTCTAGCTAGTTCAGTCAATTGTTTAACCACTTGCCTTCCGCCCGTAGTAAAAAAAACAGACGGACGGCACTGCAGCATAGACGGAATAAATGTCAAAGTACCGCAGCGCTGAATACTGAAAATTGGCCTGGATGGGAAGGGGGTTTAAGACCGCGGATGTCAACTGGTTAAAAAAAATAAAAATCTTGATGTATTCCTAAATGCACAGAATATTACGTTCTTATAGGTATATTAAGCACCAGAGATTGTTGATCCAGGGAATATCTGATTTCCTTATGGGATCAGGATGGAATTTCTTTTCCTCCTGTTGGAGCAAATTGAACCATGCTTTATGGGGGGGGGGGGGGGTTTGCCTTCCTCTGGATGAACAGGGGGTAGCTGTGGGCATTGAAGTTGAACTCGATGGACATGCGTCTTTTTTTCAACCTGATTAACTATGTAACTTATTTGCACTGAGGTGCATGTTATACACATGCATTTTTTCTATTATTTTTTCACATTGTATCACGGCTAGTATCAATTGTATCTGATACTTTGTAGAATAATTGACAGTGGGGCTTTTATTATCAATTCTAGCTCTTACATCACAGCTGGGGGATTAGGAATTAGGGCAACCATAATGCTATAAAGCAGCACCCTTCATAGTCTTTAGATGTATCAACAACTATATAGTATGAGGACCTAACTAAACAGTTCATTACATTTTTATTTCACAGTGTAGACTCACATCTGTACACAGATGTTGGGAGGAGATTATACAGACTGTAGTGTGCGTAATCCATTTTAGTTACTCCAGGTGAAATACAAGCAAAAATAAAGCAAACATTTCCATCATTCATAATTCTCCCATTTTAATATTGTACAAATAGGATGACAAAACATAACTAGGCCAAGCATCTTACAACAAACATATGGACATTTGAGTGTTTATACAACTGATTTTTCCTAATTAAAACTCAGTGCACTCCTTTTGCCAGCATCAGTTATGCACATATATGAAAAAGAAAACTTTTTTTTACTGGAGCAAAATGTTATACCAAATAGGTTAACAAATCATTCCTTTTTTTTCTCTACACAATTAAAATTAGACCCACATTGTGTTAGTACTGGCTATACGTCCTTTAATAGTGAAAATACTTTGACTTACTTAAAATGTAAAGAATAAACCAATAACAAAAAAGTAAACTATATATGTAAAAATAGAAGGAAAAAATAAAAGCAACATCATCACTTTAATAGACAAGGCATGTGTATATCTGTAAGGTGGATTAGGAATTTCAAGGTATCATACCCTAGGAGCAAAATTAAACCGACCTTATAGTGGTAATAAATATTTTGTCAGTATAGTTTTTTAAATAGAGCATCTGTATTTAAAATGCTACACATTATATACCACAGTTTTATATCTAGTCTGAGAATACAGCGTACTTAAGATGACACCACAGTAAATGTTTATATTTAAAATGATTAGCTTATTAGGGTTTTTGTGTATTTGGTTTATTGTGCCACAAGGAACAATTTGTGGATTCAGTGAAATTCCACTGTAAGCAATGTGATCTGAAAAGAAATGTAAGTGATGAAGTATTCCATGTATGCCATGTAAGAGAGATTAAGCCAACTAGTGGGTGACGGTGCGAACAAGAAAGCAGCTAAAAATACCAACTTTGCGCAAGTAAACAAATCTGTCATTTGGAAGGTTACCTAAACCAAAACGAGGACTAAAGTGTCATGGTAGCACAACCATATGGTCCTGAGCTCCAGTGAAATGCAGCACGCATATTTTCACAGGTATATTCTATAACCTTGAAGAATGTCCACTGGCTCCAATGTTTTCAGCACATCCTTTTCAGAACCAGCTGACAGGATGATTATCTCGGGTAAAATACAAATTCCTAATGGTGCAGTTACATCTTGGTTCCAAAAAAGTGATACATTGGGGATAACAAAACAGTCAACAGAAATATCACAAAGCAAAAGAAAATGATTCCAAGTTATGGACAAAATATATATTCCGTGAGAGGTGTTGGTAAACTTGTTCCAAAAAAAAATACAAAATTCACAAGACTCACTGCTATGTCACCAATGGGGAAGAACCAAGAAAGGAACCATTGGCCATTGGAAATACAGGATATTTGAGTAAGTCCTTAGATAGAACAAAAAAAATAAAAATAAAACCAGAACACTAAGATTAAAAGAAAAAAAAAAAAAACATTTGTGCAAAAAAATAAACCAAAAAAACTAGTCCGGTCGAAAAATTGGTGTCTTTGGTAAAAATTCTATTAAGATGACCTGTGAAAAGAAGACAGATACATTAATCAATGTTTTGGTTTTCTGCCTTATCAATCATAAGCATTAGAAAAAAAAAGACATTTATTGCCCACTTAAGAGAAGAAAACAGAGCAATTTTCAAGGAAAAAGCCAGAAAAAAGGTCAAATGAAACAAATACAAAGTAAACTCTTTTCACCTCAGAGTCCATTAAATGTTACAACACAGCGGGTGTTTTAGAGCAATAAACAACAACACTCATAAGGTATGAAAAGAGGCATACAAACATATGGTGAAGAGGTCACTAAATCTGTTAAAATAAGCACCAGCTAATTATTAACTGATGATCTAAGTAATACAGTCCAGGATGTTTGTCACACAAAACAAAAAAGGCAATTCCTTTCATAGCACCTATACAATAAAAACTATGCCTTACTGCTAATGATTGCCTTTTAGGAACTAATTAATGACTGTCAAGGGCCTATTGTAGAAAGCTCCTTATGAATATTGACTCTCTTCAGGAGGTTAATTAATTATAACAAGATCAGCAATGGTGGACGATTCAAAATGTGGCCACAGTTAAGAAATACACAGGTTCCACCCCTGCCCAACGCAGGTGAAAAAGAAACAAACCCCAAAAACAAACAAACAAAAACCTATAAACTCTAGCTTAACCTGAATAAAAAATTGAGACCAACTGAATCCAAGCTGTAGAAGATTCATAACCTTCAAAAAAAACTGGTATAAAATTCCTTTACACAATCTGCTAATGTCATTGTTTTCAAAGTTGGCATGAGACTAAAATAAAAATATACTACAACATCAACATAAAAGAAAAAACAAGCACGTGAAGGCTGTGTTCCCCCCCACCCCTCATATTAGAACAGTTGGAAAGGATATTAAATGAATGTAATGGCTAAAAATACCCCAAAGGATAAAAAAAAATAAACAGCAGAATAAAAATAAACCCAGGACCATAAAACCTTCAGAGAATGTTATTTTAATCTACAAAACACTCAGCACTTATGTGACAGCAAATCCAGACAAAACAATGCAATTCTGACACTTTAAATATAATAAAACATTTAGGGGTTTTGTTAGCTCTTAAAATAAATGATTTTGCAAGATGCATTGCAACTACACATTTTAATTTTATACTTTATATTTCTAATTTTGATAAAAATGGTCTTCATGTTCCCAATAGATAAAAAAAAAAGTCAAGATAGACATTTGCATTTAGTATAATGCTAATCAGGTTTCAGACTGGCAGAGCAGTCAACTATGTGTTAATCTTTCATAGAGAATCGCAAATTTCACACCCCATCAATGTACGCCTGGGCTATTTGATTTAAGCAATTAATTTATTATGGTTTTTTTCATGGCACAGCGACGACTTGTCTTCAGTCCTTCATAACTTTATAAATCAGCCCTACCCATGAGCCCATGCATCTGTGAACCGTAGAAAATCCTTCCGCTCGGGTGATTAAGCTCTTGACACCTTTACTGATTAATAATCAGGCAAAGAATAAGATCAGAGGCAAAATAAATGATCATTTAATAGAGAGACTCACAAAACAGCCCTTTAACTTACATATTCCATCATGTTATTGGTTTCACATTTCCTTTTGCTTAGTCTCCAGTGCAAGCACAGCTGGAAGAGAGGAATAGTAAAAGAAGAAAAATGAACTCCATTTTACTGCGACACACACATTAGCTCATTTATCCACCTTTCATATTTTTCGCCTAACAAAAGCATCTGTTTCCATACTGTGCAATTCAGACTTCAACACTGCGAAGTTACTCCCTGCGGTACTCACCTTGTGGTATAACCTATTGTTTTCCCATTCCAATAACTTCTCAATCGATCTCCGTGTCTGCAAGACAAATGGGGGGAGAATTTTACCCTTGAGTAGCTTAAGAGAAGACTCTGCAGCTGTTTTTTTTTTTTTTTTTTTTTA